AGCTGCCCTGAGTCCCCTTTGTGGAGATGGTGGCGGGGTATAAATAAAGATTATTATTATTATTATTATTATTTAAAAAACTCTAAAATCAGGACAGTAAATAAAGAGAAACACCCGAAAAACAGAGGAATTCCAGACAGGAAACAATCCAGGCCAGCTAACACCTCCCAACAAAGGATTCCCCAGGCAGGAAGCAGTCAGGCTTTGAAGCTGCAAGGCTATTCAATGTTAATCAAGGTGGCTAATTGCAACATTCCCACTTGCCTCAAACAGACAAAAGAGTACTTTCTCCCGCCCTGGACATTCCATAGATATATAAACCCCGCTTGTGTAGTTTCTAACGAACCTCTCAACCTCTGAGGATGCCTGTCATAGATGTGGGCAAAACATCAGGAGAGAATGCTTCTGGAACATGGCCATATAGCCCGGAAAATTCACAGCAACCCAGTGATTCTGGCCATGAAAGCCTTCGACATTAAACGTATGGCCCTCCAAAAATGACACCAACCCAGTGATTCTGGCCATGAAAGCCTTCGACATTAAACATATGGCCCTCCTGAGTTAGAATTTCTATCCGCCCCATTCCTGCATCCTAGAAACAGCAGTCCATAACACTGGGAAAGGCCAAAGACTCCCAATCGCAGCTTTGTGACAGTTGTATAAGGATCATAACTCCATAATATAGGTATGAAACACTGTAAATTTTTAGCATCATTTCCTTATGATGGGTTAGAGGGCATTTTAGGTCAGACATCATATTCTCAAGCCTTGTATCTAACTTAAACTCCCTGGCTAAACAAATTGCCGCTTTCCAGATGTTACTGTGTCATTTCTGGTATTTCTATCCCGTCCCTTCTTTACCCCCGAAGGGGGACTCGGGACGGCTTACATTTAGTAGTGGTACGATACTGCTACATAAGAATTACAATAGTAAAATCACAATTAAATACAAATAGCAAACATTAAAACAGCAAATATAGCATTAGTTAAAACCATATCACAACTCCCATTGGCTCTGGTCATTATGTCAAATGATGAGGAACAAAGCAGTTGTAGTCCAGCATCTGGAGGGCAGCAAAAAAAGGCATGGCAGGCCAGATTTGGCCCGTGGTCCTTGAGTTTGACACATGTGCTCTGGCCACTTCTCCCTGAATCAACTATTAAGCCAAATCATATCCCGCAAAGGCCAGCCGGTACTGTCAGGACTGCCAACTTCACAGATTAACCTTAGATTAATGGGTATTAAGACTGAAGTACAATGAGTATGCCTATCCATCAAAATATATCCAAACCAAGCAAAACAAAGCAAAGACATCTTCAATGGGGCATCTTCACAGCCCCAAATGCCTTGTCTCTTTCAAATCTCCACTGTGCCTCCACAAAACCTCAAGTCCAAATGACTGCAGTTGACTCTCCACATCTGCTGGTTTAACTATTGAGGATTTGATTATTTGCGGATTTGATTAATATGTTCTCTCCACGAATCTTCCTAGTGGCTCAGTGGGTTAAACCGCTGAGCTGCCGAACTTGCTGACCAAAAGGTTGGCGGTTTGAATCCAGGGAGCAGGGGTGAGCTCCTGCTGTTAGCCCCAGCTTCTGCTAACTTAGCAGTTTGAAACATGTAAATGTGAGATGATCAATAGGTAACACTCTGGCAGGAAGGTAACAGCACTCCATGCAGTCATGCTGGCCACATGACATTGGAGGGGTCTATGGACAACGCTGGCTCTTTGGCTTAGAAATGGAGATGAGCACCACCACCCCCAGAGTCGGACACAACTAGACTTAATGTCAGGGGAAAACCTTTACCTACTTTTATGAATCTCTAAATCCACCACATGTCTTTGGGGCTAAATGCATGGATTTTGTTTAATCTGAGAGAACCCTCTAAGAATCTTTAGGTCCTCCAGTGCAACCCTATGGCCAACTTCCACTGGAAGAGAATGAGAGCAAACCAACTGAAATTCAGCCCAGGAAAGATTACAACCCATGCTGAATAGCGTTACACACTTTCCATTGAAATACTGATAAGTTTATGTTGTTCTTCATTTTAAATATTGTATTCTTTTTCATGTTTTTTGAACTACAAATAAAATATGTGCATTGTGCATAAGCATTAGTTCATGTATTTTTCTACCATTCTAGTCCAAGGACTTTCTGCCTTCATGAAGGGAAAGCACAATCAAAGCACCCCCAACAGAAGATCATCCAGCCTCAACAACAACAACAACAACAAGAGTTGGAAGAGACCGCATGGGCCACCTAGTCCAACCCTCTTCTGCCCTAACGCAGTCAAAGCACAATCAAAGCGCCCACAACAGATGGCCATCCAACCTCAACAACAACAACAACAACAACAACAGAATTGGAAGAGACCACGTGGGCCATCTAGTCCAACCCCCTTCTGCCTTCATGCAGCAAAGTACAATGAAAGCACCCCTGACAGATGGCCATCCGACCTCAACAACAACAGAATTGGAAGAGACCATATGGGCAATCTAGTCCAACCCCCTTTTGCCCTCATGCAGTCAAAGCACAATCAAAGAACCCCCGACAGATGGCCATCCAACCTCATCGACAACAACAGAATTGTAAGAGACCGCATGGGCCATCTAGTCCAACCCCCTTCTGCCCTCACGCAGTCAAAGCACAATCGAAGCGCCCCCAACAGATGGCCATCCAACCTCAACAACAACAGAATTGTAAGAGACTGCATGGGCCATCTAGTCCAACCCCTTTCTGCCCTCATGCAGTCAAAGCACAATCAAAGTGCCCCCGACAGATGGCCAATCAACCTCAACAACAACAACAGAGTTAGAAGAGACCACATGGACCATCTAGTCCAACCCCCTTCTGCCTTCGTGCAGCGAAAACACAATGAAAGCAACCCTGACAAATGGCCAACCAGCATCATCATCAACAACAACAACAACATGGGCCATCTAGTCTAACCCCCTTCTGCCTTCATTCAGCATTAATGCAGCAAAAGCACAATTAAAGCACCCCTGAAGGTGGCCATCCAGCCTCAACAACAATAGAGTTGGAAGAGACCCTTAGGCCTCTATCCCAGGATCCGATCCCTGATTATCTGCTTTTAAACTGGATTATATGAGTCGCCACTGCCAGATAATCTGGGATAAGCAGATAATCTGGGATCAGATCCTGGGATAGAGGGGCAGTGTGGAAGGGGCCTGAATTCCTGTGTTGCGAAAGGATAGATATGTCTCAGGGCCCTTCCACACAGCCATATAACCCTGAACATCAAGGCTGATAATCCACAATATCTGAACCGGGTTATCTGAGTCCACACTGCCATATAATCCAGTTCAACGTGGATTTTATACGGCTGTATGGAAGGGGCCTCTAGGGGCCTCATGACACACGAGAGCAGGGGTCCTCAAACTAAGGCCCGAGGCCTGGATACGGCCCTCCAAGGTCATTTATCCGGCCCTTGCTCAGGGTCAACCTAAGTCTGAAATAACTTGAAAGCAAACAACAACAACAACAACAACAATCCTATCTCATCAACCAAAAGCAGGCCCACACTTCCCATTGAAATACTAATAAGTTTATATTTGTTAAAATTGTTCTTCATTTTAATTATTGTATTGTAGTAAGTGTTTTTGCACTACAAATAAGATATTTCCAGTGTGCATAGGAATTTATTCCATGTTTTTTTCAAATTATAATCCGGCCCTCCAACAGTTTGAGGGACTGTGACCTGGCCCTCTGTTTAAAAAGTTTGAAGACCCCAGCACTAGAGAATAAATCCACTTAAAATCCTGCCTCCTGCAGGATTCTGGGGTTTGTAGTTTAGGGGGGTGCCTTTAACAGCCTAAACTACAAACCCCAGCATTCTGCAGGAGGCAGAAAACAGATTTCAAGTGGATTCATTCTCTAGTGCAGGCATGGGCCAACTTGGGCCCTCCAGGTGTTTTGGACTTCAACTCCCACAATTCCTAGCAGTCTCGGGCTCTTTCCTCTCCCCCCCCCCCTCAGCCACTTAAGGAAGGGTCCTGAGGCTGTTAAGAATTGTGGGAGTTGAAGTCCAAAACACCTGGAGGGCCCATGCCTGCTCTAGTGTGTCCCCAACATGACAAAGTTTGGAAAGCTCTGTTCTAGAGGCGAAGGACCTAGGGATTGGGGCAGGGTTGTTGTGAATCTTTGGTGGTCCTTATTAAACTGTTGCAAATCTTTGGAAAGACACCCCAGATGAGAAAAAGAGTGGACAGAAAGGTCCTCTAAACCATGGAAGCCATAGAAACAAACTTCATCACGCTAGAGAATGAATCCACTTAAAATCCGGTTTCTGCCTTCTGCAGAATGCTGGGGTTTGTAGTTTAGTGAGGCTGTGAAAGGCTCCTCCCTAAACTACAAACCCCAGAAACCGGATTTTAAGTGGATTCATTCTCTAGTGTGATAAAGTTTGTTTCTATGGCTTTCTATGGTTTGTTTCTATGGCTTCTCATCACATTAGAGAGAAAAAATCCACTTAAAATCCGGTTTCTGCCTTCTGCAGAATGCTGGGGTTTGTAGTTTAGTGAGGCTGTGAAAGGCTCCTCCCTAAACTACAAAGCCCAGAAACCGGATTTTAAGTGGATTTTTTTCTCTGATGTGATGAGACTGAAACAAACAAAAAGTTTGCTGACAAAGCAATGAGTGCGCGCCGGGGAAAAGTTCCCCAAACTTTAGCCACCGAGAAACATCCGAGGCGAGTTAAGATCCGGAAAAAAACCCTCGACGGAGATTCCCCCCACCCAGTGAGATCGGATCCTGGGAGTGGAGTGTCCTCTCTGTAATCGGATCAGGAAACGGATCCCCTCGACCCGGAGCAAGGTCCCAAAGCGAGGCGGTTTAGGCGGTCCCCCTAAACCTCTCCAAAAGCGCACCGAGGGCGCACGGAGGGCGCACCAGAACTCCAGACTCTTTCCTTTGGAAAGGCTCAAGAGGGGGGTCCAAAAGGGGGGATCACTTTGGAAAAATGGGGGAAACTAACTCACTTTTGTGCTTGCCTCCTCCCCAGCCGGGTTTGGCGAAGCTCGGGCTCCGGATGATGGCTCGCCCGGCGGATTTGAGGGCGTCCATGCCGCAAAGGAGAAACAAAGTCTCCAAAGTCTCGGCCAAACTTTCTTCTGTTTCTTTTCTTTCGCTTTCCGGTGCGTCCTCCTCGGCCCTGGCCCCTCCTTCGCAGAGGGAGGATCTCCTGGGGAAAGGAGGGAGGGCAGGGCAGGGCAGGGGAGGGGAGGGAAAGGCAGGCCGGGCAACCGGGGACTCCTCCTCCGCTTCCTGCCGGTGCCAAGCCGGGAAGGCGCACCCAGGAGCAACAGGCGCCGCTGTCCCGCAGAAGGGACTCTCTAGGCCAGGCAGGGGACAACCTGAGCCTTTCCTACAGGTTTTTTGGACTCAGATCATCTGGATATTCTGTCTTGATGTTCAGGGTTATATGGCTGTATGGAAAGGCCCTGAGACACATATCCATCATTTCTCCACACTGAAATTCAGGCCCCTTCCACAGCACTCTCTGTCCCAGAATCTGAGCCCAGATTATCTGTTTATCCCAGATTATCTGGCACTGGGGACTCATATAATCCAATCTAAAGCAGATAATCTGGAATCAGATCCTGGGATAGTGGGGCAGTGTGGAAGAGGCCTAAGGGTCTCTTCCAACGCTGTTGTTGTTGTTGAAGCTGGATGGCCATCTGTCAGGGGTGCTTTCATTGTGCTTTTGCTGCATGAAGGCAGAAGGTGATTGGACTAGATCAGGGGTCCTCAAACTTTTTAAACCGGGGGCCAGTTCACTGTCTCTCAGACCATCGGAGGGCCGGACAATAGATTTAAAAAAAAAAAAATTCCTATGCACATTGCACATATCTTATTTTGCTGTGTGGAAGGGTCCTTAGAGGGGGTTCTTTCTAGCCCTCTTTAGGCAGTAATTCCAGGAGCAGAGAATGGGAAATCTTCCTATTTCTAGTCTGAACAAAATCTGGCTACCAGTATTAAAAAAAATCTAAAATTATAACTGTAAATAAAGAACAACACTCAAACACAGGGGAACTCCAGACAAGAAACAATCAGGGCCAGCTAATCACCTCTCAACAAAGGATTCTCTCTAAAAACTGTCAGGCTATGAAATGGTAATCAAGGTGGCCAATTGAAACATTCATTAGGTTCTTGTGGGTTTTTTCGGGCTATAGAGCCATGTTCTAGAGGCATTTCTCCTGACGTTTCGCCTGCATCTATGGCAAGCATCCTCAGAGGTAGTGAGGTCAACAGAAAGGAAGAGACCATGAAAATGAACAAAATCTGGCTACCAGTATTAAAAAACTCTAAAATTACAACAGCAAAACAAAAGAGAGGAAACAACCAGGCACAGATTAACACCTCCCAGCAAGAGATTTTCCCAGGCTCAGGCAGGCCTTCAAATGCTAATGAAGGTGATCAGCTGAAACATTCACACCTAACTGCAGCAGGGAAGAGCTCCTTGCCCCACCCCAGCCATTCCACAGATATATAAACCCATTGTCCTAATTCCAACAGACCTCACTACCTCTGAGGATGCTTGCCATAGATGCAGGCGAAACGTCAGGAGAAATGCCTCTAGAACATGGCTCTATAGCCCGAAAAAACCCACAAGAACCTAGTGATTCCAGCCATGAAAGCCTTCGACAATACATGAAACATTCATACCTACCTCCAACAAACAAGAGTTCTTTCTCCCACCCTGGATCTTCCACAATTTTCCTGGTTAAAGGTTTTCCTCTGACATGAAGTCCAGTCGTGTCTGACTCTGGGGTGTGGTGCTCATCTGCATTTCTAAGTCGAAGAGCAGGCATTGTCCGTAGACACCTCCAAGGTCATGTGGCCAGTTACGATGGGCAGTGTGAGCCTGCCAAGGGAGGAGCAGCCCCGCGTGGCCTACTCGCGCATAAAGCACCTCACGCATAAAGCACCTCAAACTAAGGCCCAGGGCCGGATACGGCCCTCCAAGGTCATTTACCGGGCCCTCGCTCAGGGTCAACCTAAGTCTGAAATGACTTGAAAGCACACAACAACAACAACAACAATCCTATCTCATCAGCCAAAAGCAGGCCCACACTTCCAATTGAAATACTAATAAATTTATATTTGTTAAAATTGTTCTTCATTTTAATTATTGTATTGTTTTTAAGTGGGTTTTTTTTTTTTTGCACTACAAATAAGATATGTGCAGTGTACATAGGAATTCATTCATGTTTTTTTTTTTCAAATTATAATCCGGCCCTCCAACAGTTTGGAGAACTGTGACCTGGCCCTCTCTATGTGGTCTCTTCAAATTCGGTTGTTGTTGTTGAGGTTGGATGGCCATCTGTCGGGGGTGCTTTGATTGTGCTCTGACTGCATGAGGGTAGAAAGGGGTTGGACTAGATGGCCCATGTGGTCTCTTCCAATTCAGTTGTTGTTGAGGTTGGATGGCCACCTGTTGGGGGCACTTTGTGCTTTGACTGCATGAGGGCAAAAGAGGGTTGGATTAGCTCCCACTATTCCCAACAGTCTCGGGGGGGGGGGGGGGGGGGGGGGGGGTTAGGGGTTCAAATGATCCACAATCTCTGCTTTGATCTGGGTTGTCAGAGGCACCTTCTGCTAGGGAAAACTGTTGTTGTTTATTCATTCATTTGCATCCGATTCACTCTTTGTGACCTCCTGGATCAGCCCACGCCAGAGCTCCTTGGCTGTTACATAGCATTGAATGAAACATGCAGAATAATCACAGGATGTCTTAAACCTACACCTGTTGATAAACTACAAGTTAGCTGGCATTGCCCCCCCCCCCCCCGATGTGCGACGGGAAGTTGCTGCTTAATGTGAGAGAAATAAGGTCGAACACTAATAATAATAATAAATAATAAAACTTTATTCATACCCCGCCACCATCTCCCCAAGGGCAGGAGCCCCCGGTGGCGCAGTGGGTTAAACCCCTGTGCCGGCAGGACTGAAGACCGACAGGTCGCAGGTTCGAATCCGGGGAGAGGCAGATGAGCTCCCTCTATCAGCTCCAGCTCCTCATGCGGGGACATGAGAGAAGCCTCCCACAAGGATGATAAAAACATCAAATCATCCGGGCGTCCTCTGGGCAACGTCCTTGCAGACAGCCAATTCTCTCACACCAGAAACGACTTGCAGTTTCTCAAGTCCCTCCTGACACGACAAAAAAAAATCTCCCCAAAGGGACTCGGGGCGACTTACATGAGGCCAAGCCCAACAATACAATACATCAGTAAATCAACACAGCAATAAAATAAAGGGAAAAAATACAATACAAAACCATTATAAATAACATATCAGCAGTAAAACAAAACATTTAAAAGCACAAAGATCCAACACTGTGGGCAGGGCCAAATCTAATAGATTCACAATTTAAAACACTGGGTGTGAACAGCAGTAAAATGAATCTAAACAGGGCTTTTTAGAGGGCAAGGTAGGGTTGACTGTCCCAACAAATAGAATAAAGTGCTTCAGAGGACATTTTGCAAATAATTAGTCAGAACAGGGAATTATTGTTCTTTTATTCAGGGAAGGCACATTGGAACAACCATGTTTTCAATCTCCTCCTAAAGACTGCCAATGTGGGGGCTCGCCTAATATCCTTGGGGAGCGAGTTCCAGGGTCAAGGGACCACCACAGAAAAGGTCCTCTCCCCACTGCGAAAGCCACTCACTACATGGCTACCATCCTCTTGCCAGTAGACTCCAATCAAGGAAAAACCTTCATGAGAACTACCACTCCTCTTGGCGTCCCCCCAGCAACAGCAAGGGTATCCCTCTGGGCAGCTAAACCAAGAAATCCCAACTGGATGGCCCCCCATGAGGGTCTTCCTCCAGGGGCAAACCAAGAATGGGCAACTTGGAAGTCCCTGAACAGACTCAGAAGTGGAGTGGACAGATCAAAAGACAACATGGCAAAATGGCACTACCTAAAAGAATCCCACAACTTGTGTGACTGTGGAGCAAAGCAGACAACTCCATATCTGTATGCTTATCCACTATGTCCTGCCTCATGTACAGAGGAAGAATTGTTGGAGGCTACAGACAATGCCATTGCTGTTGCCCGTTTTTGGTCAAAAAATATTTAGCCACCTGCGCTCCTTCTATTTTTATCGGTTTTATACTAATTTATGCAATGCTTATAATAAGAAATAAATAACCACCCCCAGCTCCTTCAGAGTCAAGCCAATCACTTCAAGGATAGCATCCATCTACTTTGCCCTTGATCGGTCCCTCTTCCTTTTCTATTCATTTTCCCTAGCGTCTTTCTCTTCTCTAAGCTTTCCTGTCTTCTCATTATGTGGCCAAAGTACTTCATCATTGTCTCTAATATCCTTCCCTCCAGTGAGCAGTCGGGCTATATTTCCTGAAGTATGGACTAGTTGGATCTTCTTAATGATGCCGCCATACCAGGTGACAGCCAAATTGACGAAAAACAACAGGAAAAACTCAGTAGTTATCAGGACCTAAAAATCGAACTGCAAAGGCTCTGGCATAAACCAGTACAGGTGTTCCCAGTGGTAATCAGCACACTGGGTGTCGTGCCAAAAGATCTCAGCCAGCATTTGAAAACAATAAACATTGACAAAATCATGATCTATCAACTGCAAAAGGCCACCTTACTTGGATCTGTGTGCATCATTCGAAAATACATCACACAGTCCTAGACACTTGGGAAGTGTTCAACTTGTGATTTTGTGATACGAAATCCAGCATATATATCTCATTTGCTGCAACATACTGTGTTTTTGTGTCAGTAAAATAATAATAATAATAATAATACTGTAGGTTTCTTCTCAAGTTGAATTTGTATGCAAGTCAGAACAGGTGCATTTTTGAAGGGTAATTCAAGCCAAATATGTATATAGATTAGCTTTAGATAGCATAGGGAAGGGTTAACACCCCTGTGGTGTTTGTTTTGTTGCCTGTGCCCCTGTTCAGAAGATTTCACCTCACTTTCTGCCCCTGTGATCATTGGATTTTGAAAAATTTGCTTGTTGTGGAAGCCAGGATTGGTGATAAAGCTTTAGTTGAGACACCTTTTCCCCATAATGATAACTCTTCCAGGAGTGAATATCTATAACTCGGGGAATGCTTGTATATAAGTATCACAATTCCTCGGAGATAGGGCGGAATATAAATAACGTGTTATTATTATTATTACCATTGATATCAGAGCTTTCCAAACTGTAT